CTTTAAGACTCAAAACACTTAAGAGTGGCCTAAAATAGCTTTACAGTTTAGACTCCACGGCTAATTAGTTTCCTAGTTAGCAGACTGAAGTGGACTTTTGATTACTTTTCAGATTTATATTCAACATGAAAATCGACGTTCTCTACACTACGAGTTTGCTGCAATTGCGTGCTGAATGTGCCAGTGTCCAAATTTGTTGTTTGTTTTGAGATGTCAGTAAGAATGTGTCGTGTTGAGGGCAGTTTCGTCAGCAGAGATCCTTCGCGGGGTCTTGCGAATCATAAGCGCCATGTCAGTCGATGGTTTTGTCGTGTAACAGCTGGGGGTTGCCTTTGCTCAGTTAGTTGGATTTCTTGTCGACGTCCCCGGAGTCCGCTGGACTGGAAGCTATGGAAATTGCAAGAAGCACTCAAGGCGAGATGAAAATGACGGTCGTGCAGACTCAATTTGACGAAGCCATCTTCATCTCTCGAGTGGGGGCGGCGCGGCGGTGCGCTGTGGCGTGGCGCGGCGTGGGTCTCGCGGTGCCAGAATAAAGGAGGCAGCCATCTTGGAGCGTGGGGGGCGGGGGTGAGCGACGCGGGGGTAGCCCGCCCGCGGGCGGGGCGGGCAGGAGATGGGATTACAAAGACAGAGCGCGAGCGAGTGCGGGCGGGGGGAGAGACGGGAGATACGAACGCATACGAACGAACGAGCGGACGAACGCGCTCTCTCTCTCTCTCTCTCTCTCTCTCTCTCTCTCTCTCTCTCTCTCTCTCTCTCTCTCGGCCGCCCGCCCCTGCCCTGCCCGCCCCGGCCACCCTCTCTTTCCCCCACCACGCCCTCTTTCTCGTTCCGTTGTCATGACGACACCCCACTCGCACCCCCTGCCACCCCACCCCCCGCCCTCGCCGCCTCCGCTAGCTCGCGCAACTTTTCGCTCCACTCGGTTCGGGCCGGGCGCCCCCAGCTCGGCACAAGATGGCCGTCTTCTTGCGCGACTCACTAAACGGATTCCTTAATCCCTTTGAATTTGAACATCTTTTTGCAAAAATGTCATACAAGAATAAACTGATGAAATTGATTGTAAAATAAAATGTGCACAATTTGCTGATGAAATAGGCCATAGAAAATCTGTTAAAAGTATAGCGAGACTTTACTTGCTAGTTCTCAGGCCTTGGCCTAGCTGTTGAGTGTTGTGAAAGAGGTACTTGTTGAGTGGCAGAAGGCACCTTTCTTACCAAACCTTAATCGGAAAGTCTGTCCCCAGTTATTCTCCAGCACTCGGCTGTGGGGCGCTGTGCTGGGAGCCGAGGGGCGCGGCGGCGGGGCGCGGCGCACACCCGGCCGGTATTGATTTCCCGAGTTCCTCTGCGTTCGTTCTGCTCCTTCGGCACGCTGCCCGAACTCAACTTGCACCGCGAAAACAACTTGTCTCTCTGGTCGGTTCCTAGTAGTGGGGAATTGCTCCGGTCTTGTTGTATGTTCGTCCAAAGAGAAGGCTGCTGTGGGAAGGGAACGAGGTGGATTCGAAACGGTTGTATTTGCTGTTGTAAACTTATCTAAGCCTTACTGTTAGGAATATTTTCTGATTACCCAACGATTGCTTGGTACGTGGCAACTGTGAAATCCCAACACTTAATCGTTGTCAAAAATCGAGCATTTTTCTATCTCAATGTGAAAAAGTTGTCGACCGGTCGTTAAAACTCCGAAAATTATTTCTCATGCGGAATGTGTGTGATTTCCTCGGAAATCACAAAGAGATCTGGAAACTTTTTTCACAACGAATTCTTCGGGAAGTTCTGACTTTTTTATATAACAGTTCAGCAAGCTCAATGCTTGCAGTTCGACTGCTAGTTTGTTTTTGTTCTGTATACTATTCACGGTAACTTTTTTTTTGCAACATGTCCCCGAAACTTCCTTTTTTGTATCTTCACAACACAATTCAGCATGCTTACGAAGAAAGGTGTCGCGCAAGGTGAAAACCTCGACCAACTCTGTAATGAGTTCGAAATACTCTGGAATGGAAACTCAAGTGTCGTACAGTATCACACTTATAAGTTCAGCACCATGGTGTCCGACACCTCAAGGTGCCAGCTAACCCAAGTGTCGGACACCCCTTGTCCTGCAGTTGAAAGTGTAGGACACTATGTGTCCTACAGTTAAAAGTGAAATACACAATATGTATTACAGTTTTAGGTTTAGCTGGCACCTTGAGATGTCGGACACCATGTGTCCGACACTTAAAACTCTAGTACACTTGGTGTCCTGCAGTTTTAAGTGCAGTACCCCTTGGTCCTGCACTTATAAGTGTGATACTGTGCGACACTTGAGTTTCCAGAGATACTCGTGTCCTATTTGTGCTGCTTAGGACATGAAGTATTTAGGATTGCTAGTCGACCACTCGCTACTGGTTCATGCCTTTGTCGCGTGCTGTTTAAATTTCGTGTTTACCGATTGAAAAATTTGTAAAATAGCAGTGTACTTTTGGAGCAAGCGGCCGTGGGGCGTGCGTGACTATTGGCACAGCGTGTGCCGTTTTACTGCGACAACGGCCTCAAATCGAGCGAGCGCTGCGCTGCGAGAGCTGTGCGGGGGCCTTTTGTGTTTGCAGTGCGAGGTTAAGTACGGCTTCATCGTGTGCCATTTGCATCTTTTATCCGGTACATTACGTGCGGCCCGCGCCCCACCGCCACGCCCTCGCTCGGCCCCACCTCGCTCCCTCTCTTTTCTCATCCTCTCTCTCTCTCTCTCTCTCTCTCTCTCTCTCTCTCTCGCCCAGTCGCTCGCCAGAGGTGAGCACACATTTAAATTACCCTTACTCTCCTTATCATCAAATAGCCCTCTGCCGCCGTTATCAGAATGGGCTCTCTGCCACGCCCCGCAGTGCCCTGCCCTGCCTCGCTACGTCCCGCTACGCCCCGCCACACTTCATCCGCATCCACTGGACCACGGCACCGGGCAGCGCCCTGAGAGGTCCGTAGTGTGATGCCTGTAAAAACAAAGACAACGAGAAGGAGTATTTTACGTATAATTTTGTCACCTCATTAAAATAGTTAATGTTCGTCGTGGACAGTTGGTTATGGTTGCTTGCATTCAGACACTACTGATGGGGAGACAGAATATTATACTTTTAGGATATTCAAATGGGGATCGATATAAATGTTAGCTCTTTCACCAAAAAACCAAAGTATTCGGTCGATAATCAATCACTTGTAAGGTGCCTTCATAGTGCCTTCATAGTTGACCCTTTGGAGTGCGTAAGTTATGTTGTTTGTCAAACACTCGCCCTTATGTTTTTAAACGCAACCTCTGTATATCCGGCACAGGCGTTGAACTTCAACCGCACAACTGTCGGAGGTGATGTCCTTTTTTGCATTTCTAAAATCGCAATTGTCTGTGGGTAGACCAAATTGAATGGATGCCGTCCACATTCATATGTGGATGTATCCACAGTTGACGAGAATATCACTTATCATTTCGTTTAAAGAATAAATTTATAGTGCAAATGCCAAAATCGTTGCAAACCACAGCAAACATTTTTCCGGGAACTTCCCGGTTGGATTCGGGAAGTACATTTTCCGGTTGCTCCAAATGTTATAACATGCATAGATATGACGAAAAATAGCATCCGGAAAATTACTTCCCGGATTCAACCGGGAACTTCCCCGAAATATATTTGCTGTGAACCTGAAGGCGAATGAGTATGGTGTGGACGACAGTGACAGCCCTGAAGAGCAAGGATCCGAAGGGTCGGAGAGAATGGCGAAAGTGAAAGGCCACACTCTGTGGCCCGGGACCACAAGCACAAGAGGACGGCCGCCTCCTCACAGCAGGGGCGGACCGGTATAGGGTCGCATAGCGGGGGCTGCCGGCCGGGCACAGGACAGCCGGTCCGGCCGCTTTGTACTTTTAAGTTCCGGGCTTTATGTCCCCAAACTGCAGACATTACGTTTTAAAGCTGTGTGGGGATGTTATCCGGGGCGTCGCAGGCCGGCTCCGCAGCAGGGGGTCTGACCGCCCTCCAGCTCGTCCAGTCCCCAGAGGCCCCAACGCCCTGGCCCGCCACGCCCCGCCACGCCCCGCCACGCGAGCCCGAAAGGGTTGAGGAGGGAAAAGGGCGAGAAAGGGTTGGCCTCTCGGCAGGCGTCCCAGGAATGGGCGGCATTGCCACACGCGCTCACACACACAGACACGGGCATTGCCCACACATACACATACACTCGCGCTCGTATGCCAAAAGATTACGAGTTATCGTTTTTGGGGGTCGCAAGGGGAAGAAGTGTGGGTGGGGCACAGTGAGCACAGTGTGGTATGTAGAGGATGGAGATAACATGCCTTTTCACCACAAGAGATGCGTAGATTTTCATTGTCGTGGATGCGTTTTCTAACGTCACGATTACACTCAAACAAAAGGGTATATGGCATTTGAACACTTTAAAGAAAGTGTGTGCCAAAATGTCTCACGTAAAAAGAAGCATGCCAACATGCCAGTCATGTCACATACACACACTGAAAAAAGCGTTTTGTCCTAATAATTAAAAAAGGGTTGAATCAAAGAAAATTTACTCCCTCAAACCAACTAAACATTTGATCAAGACTTCTAAACAAAATATAATCAGGTCGATCACACCTTTATCAACATGACTAAAACACGGGCGAGAAAAATTTGACTCTCGCAAGTAAAATTTTCTTGGTTTCTGTTTTTGTTGCGCGGATCAAACGGTTTTCTCAGTGCACAAAAGTGTGACGACCATGGAACATACTCTTCTGTTCTGTGTAACGTCTTACTATACGTCACACACTTTTATGTGAATGCTATCACTTTTTTATACGCATGTATCATTGTCAAAATAGTCTCACACGTTTTTGTGTGACATTTTGGCACGCCCTTGTAAGTGGCCAAATGTTAAAATCAAAAATGTGACGTAAATAGAAAAGTTTTGTTGTATTTACTATGCTCACTCTATGACTTGTATATGAACGCCTTGAACAGAAAAATGTGTTTCGTTATGTTTCAGATGCAGTTACGGGACTATGCAGAACTCTGCTACCTCACACATTAGGTAAATGCGGACTGACCATAATGAGCAACACCTGGGGATAATGCTTTTAATTGGTAATTGGCACATGGGGGGATCGCAGGCCTCTGTAAGTTGTGTAGAGCAATGATAATGCATTTATTCAAAGCTGCTTGTTTGCGTGTTCATTAAGGCTACTCTTCCGCACCCTGTTTTCTCTCCTTTTTTTCGAGGCAGTGGCGTGGAAAAGTGTCTATTGCCGCTAATTATTACCCCTGCGCCACCCTTTACGAGGCGCTAAAATGCTTCCCCCAACAACAACAACTCGACTTTGTTTTTCGCATTTTTTACGCCACCCTTCTCCCTTTTTTTGGTGACTATGTGATGCGCGCGTGTGAATGTGTACGAGTGTGAGACCACATCCGCATTGTGTTCTGCTCCCCTCGGCCGCACCAATTATACAGGACGCGCAGAAAAGGGCAGCAAAAAAAAACGGCGCGCGGGGGCATCACGGAAGCATATCATCATCATCCCCCTGGCGGTAAAACAATCGTGCTTGGCGGGGAAGGAAAAAAAACAGGGAGCTTGTGTGGCGTTGGTCCGGCGAGAGGCCCATCCCCAAGGGTGTCGCTGAGTACTTAATACCCTCCCGCCTCCCCTTGCTCTCCTCTTGTTTTTTAGTTCGCCTGCTCACGTGTGTGTCGTCCGTTGTCCCCCGAGCCCTTCTGTTACATGCGGTGGTGTGGCCTGTGGCGCGCGCGATCCCTCGGCACGGGGCACAGGTGCACATACGGACAAAAAACAATGGAAATCGGTTTATATATGCGGAGCAAAACAGTCGGGCCGTGTTGTGTATCGTGACATTCTTAGAGGCCGCTGTGTAGTTGTGAAATATGCTGAGAGCGTAAAGAATCGTATATTTATATAGTTGTTCAATGTATAGTTCAAGCCGTTTTTCAAATTGCCAATGTAATTTTTTTTTCTATGAAATTGCTCATTAACTTGAGAACATATTACGCGGCAAAATCTATGTCTGACTTTTTGACTTTTTTGAGGAAAAGAGGGGAAAACTTTGAGAAAAAACATTTGAGGTATAAAACTCGTCAAAAATGATAAGGGAATTCCCACTTCCTCAAAATCATACATTAGTTTTACCATGATTGCATTTTCGGTAATCTGTGTGTGTGTAAGGAGAATAAGTGATGTATATGCCTCGGCCGGAAACTTGTTTCGTCGAACAAATAGTATTCCATTTCCTGTTGATGTTACGTTGGGGTTGGCACCGCGGCCGGCACAGAGGCCATCCATTAGATTAGGGGCTGAACAAACACGGCCGCCTCGGCCGGCCACTCTCGGCGCGACAAGGCCGCCGTGGCGTTTAAAAACTCTCATTCGTTATCGCTGCCGCTGGATGCGGCCGGGCCGGGTCGTTCATCATCGTCATTAGCGCCGAGCTGCAGAGCAGGCGGACCTCGAGGCCGCGGGTCCGCCGCCGCCGCTGGAGCCGAAGGGGTTGCTCGTGCTTCCCGCGGCCGCCGCCAGGGTGCGCCACGAGCCGGCGGCCGCGTGCAGCCGCGAGCCTCCCCCTGGAGCCGGGTGGCGCGGCCGCGAGGCTGCTTGGGGTCGCACGGAGAGCTCGCCTGCGGGGCCGGCGCGCCTCGATGCGGGTCCCGTCGCGGCTCCCCGGCGACTGAGCGAGCTTCGGCCGGCCGCCACCAGAGCGAGCGACGGGCCGGCGCCGCGGCGCGCGAAAGAGCGCGCGAAGAAAACGCGGGGCGAAGCGCGCGGCGCGAAGAGTGGGGCGCCGCCACTTCCCCTACTTCCCCTTCTTCCAGTCCTTCCGTTCCTTCTGTCCGCCCCCCACCACCGGCGGGTGCGCGCGCCAATCGCGGCGCCGCTTTTCCCACCCCGCGTCGCGCCATCCCCTCCACGCGCGCACGCCCTCCCCTCCGACGCCGCTCGGCCGCGACGGGGTTCGACCACCCTCCGGCAGGGCGCGCCACCGACGCGTACCCCCCCTCCCCGGCAGCACCGGTCAGGGCTGGCGCGCTGGCGGCTAGGGTTTGAAACCGGCGGCGTGCTGCTCTCCAACACGTGGACCATATAATAGAGGCCTCGAAGGATATCAGCCTGCAAGTACAGCTACTTCCAGAGAGGGGTGAACACAGCGATGAGTCCTTTTTTAGGCATGACTTATACTTATGTTTCTAAATAAGTTGGTCAGATAACCTTGTTTTCTACGTCGAAAACAAAATAGGAAACTCTACTGTCCACCAATATTCATGTTGATTTACGCGGAATCGAGCGTAATACATTAAAATGTAGTTTCCTGAATACAGGCATCCGCTGATTCCTGCGAGGGGAGGGCCCCCAAGCCACCCTACCTCTCTCCGCCCTTGTGCGGGTGTCGTGTGTGTGTGTGTGTGTCCGCGCGCGCGTCCGTGTGCGCCGCTTGCATGTGCGTGCGAGTGAGGGGTGCATGCGCGCGGCCCCGCGCGGACGGTAGGCATAAATAACAGCAGGTTCACCCGGCGAGCTGAAACTGAACACTGCCGCGGGGACGCACTCACATTTGTTACACTGTGCGTTGTGATGCGCCCGGGACGGCTCTGTGCTGGCCGCTGCAGACCGCACACGCTCAACAATCGCATCTTTTTGCTTATTCGTTGTTACAATTACAGTAATTATGCAAATGTTATACTTCCAGAAAAAGGTGAACAGCTATCAAATAGATATTTTTGTTTTTGTGATTCAACTTTCGCACTTGCTTTCACTCGTGTTGTGAGATCAGCAAACCGATAAGTCCTACTCTAACGTTTTTAAAGCATTTTGTACTGTTTGTTTGTATTGAACGCTATTGCGTGCCAAGTAAACTTTTTTTTACGAAGAATACTTTCTCACTGTAAAATAAAGTTCGTTTACCTAAGACTTGAATAAAAGTTTAAAGTTGACGCTAACCAAAAAACCATTCTTCCCTTCCTTTCAGAAAGCAGCGAGCGCCACTTACTCGCCTCGACAGGGAAATCTTTAACTATTAATCCCTTTCAGGCTTCAAAAGTGAAAACTAAACAATTTTATTTGCCGTGAATTTTCAACGTCGGCAATCAATAAAACAGTGCGGCACGCCGGGCGCGAGCCAATCTCCGCCACGCCGCACCACGCCCCGCGCTGCCGCTCGGCGTGGTAAAAATGGCGTGGGCCGCATAATTTCCCTGCGCTTTCCGTAATATCTATTGATGGCGTTGGGGTGATCCACGAGGGGTGGCACGCCGGGGTGGCGCGGGGGAGCGCAGCGCGCCAGCAGCAACGCCGCCGCCGCTGCTGCTGCTGCTGCTGCTGCTGCTGCTGCTGCTGCTGCTGCTGCTGCTGCTGCTGCTGCTGACGCGGATTTCAAAGTACACAGATGAAAAAGGGGCAATCGATGCGTAAAAACGAAAACGTGACCATTTCAGCAGCACTGCACATTTTTAATGATATCGATTCGAAGGTGAACTTTGTAAAGGCGTAGAGAATAATACCCTCGTCTACTTTTTTTTCACCTGACGTTGGTACACAAATTTTGTTGAATTCTTGCTAAACGAATTTGGCGTCATTGCGAACGAGTTGTACAATGAATCCAAGGCTGCTTGTACCCATGCCATGTGTATTTGCCATGGCCTCTCTCTCTCTCTCTCTCTCTCTCTCTCTCTCTCTCTCTCTCTCTCTCTCTCTCT